TCCTGACTCTTCCACTTTAACGTTAATTTAAAGCAGCACTTTACAGGCTATATTATCTCTTGCCTTTAATTTCACTACTGGTTATTAGAAGGGAAACATAAAACATAGTGCTTTGGTTTCACAGAGATTATGCCAGTTATTTATTTTATTGCTCTAGGCTTACAAGCCTGTAATTCCAACCTCTGTTTCTACATTAAGTAACTTAAAAGTTACTCTGATATGAGAACACATTTCATCTGTATCTGACATTTTTTTGTCAAAATTGTGCTAGAATTGCTTGGTCTTATCAGTTAACCAGACATTTGAAACCAGTTTTCCCAAAAGTTTAATTAACTTCACTGAGTAGCTGGAAAAAAATTGGGTTGAGTTTCAAGAATGCCCCAATGCATGAAGACAGATACACTTCTACTGCCTTCAGCTGCTTTGGAACTCCCACTTTCCTTGATATTTGAGCAGGGAGGTCTCTTCCAAGCAGACTGTGCTCTTCATTACCAAAGTAACTTCAGTATGGGAACTGAAAGACCATAAGGAACAGAGAGGAAGTGGGTGTACTGGTAACTGGGGCAGAGCTGACACATGTGATTTACTGTATTCTCAGTTACTGCTGTTATCAGTCACAAGCAGGACCATCCTTGCCAGCCACCCATAGTCCTGTGGTGTCTACTAGGTACCAATGTTTTTGGCATCTTAAAATCCGTCTTTAGCTGTTATCCTATGCTTACTTTCCCCTAACAAAAAGCTACATAGGAAAGAAAACTAGCAACCAAGCAGCCCTGCTCACGCTTAACCGCTTTCTCTTACAGGTGAAGCATTTACACACAGCAAATGACTTCAGATTCCTCCCTGTTTTTACCTGCTAATGCAGTATTCCTTGTCTCCAGGTATACCCAGGTAGCGTGGTCGTTCACCAGTGGCAATGAGAAACCTCTCAGCCGTGTACAGCTTCTCAGCTCCTCTTTTATTTGTTGCCTGTGGACAAGTATTAGTCCAAAGTGAGTATTTTGCAGTCCTACCAAGGGAAAAATTATTCTACCTGAAAAGCATCTCTGTTCAGAAAGCACTATAGGAAGACCCAGCAAACATAGCTAGTAAGTACCTTAACTGTGTGTGGCCCAACAAATTCTCCATATGCATTCTCATAGGTGACTTTCTTCTCCCTCAGTGCAACCCGATAGCCCCAGTTCAGCGAACCAATGTAATTCTGAACAGATTCTGTCATAGTCATCCAGCTGTGTTTGACTGTTAAAACAGAGGAGAAAGGTTCAGCTTTCAGTCTGTGAGTTCTTTTTTCCATAGCCAACCTTGTATTCTCAGACAGTTTTTTTTTTTCATGACCCAGTCACCTTTGTCTTTATTCCTTTTTTATTCCAGGGTAACTCTACTGAAATTCAAAGAATTCCATCAGCATAGACAACTCAAAAGCTCGCAGTGGAACAGATAAGACTTAAAACATGGAAAATTTAGGCTTACTGCGTTATCGATTGTTTTCTACAGACATGTTCTGTGAGCAGCTGACATTGCTCAACAAACAAAGACTATGCATCTCTGAGAAGTGCCTCTGCATGTTTCCCACTATAGGATTACACCCCAAATAAAACCCAATCCTATAACCATGAACATTAGTGCTAACACAAAGTAAAATTTATCTTCTTATGTAGTAGTGACAGAGACTTAGGGAAAGGAAATTCTTGCCTGCAATTATGAGTAAGTTTCTAACAGGGGATATTCTGTTGTGTTACATTCAAAATAGAACAGCACCTTATTGCTCTTATTCACACAGCAGTCTTATCAAATATCAACATGATAAGAAGCTATTAATAAACTGATCAAACGTTGCAAGGCAGTAAGCCCCATGGCTTCAGATTTGAAAAGCGCTTCTGTTCACGTGTAATCTATCTGAAGTTGTGTGACATTGTTAAAGCCAGCATATGCTTAAGTGCAACAAGCACTTGACTGTGGAAGGAGCCTCTGGATTTTCAGCACAAAGGAGAAAAAGCGTTCTTCTTTACCTTCTTCTGTAAACTGCCATCCAAATTTGCGTGAATCTTGCAAGGCTTGTCCCAGGAGAGCTGCCTGGTGCATCAGTTTTTTAGGTATACAGCCCACATTTACACATGTTCCTCCAAGACCTGAGAGAAAGGAACAGAATGTGTTTTTCATATCAATGTGACTGATCTCAAAGGATAATCAGAGTCTCCGAGTAAAGCTCCTTTATAATAGGTTTGCAATGAAGAGGAATTTACCCCATGAGTTTCCCAGAGGTGTAGGCGTGACAAAGTCCAGCACCATCACTTTCTTGTCATATTTGGCAGCCTCCTGCAAAACAAATTAAATAAGACACATATCTAAATATTAGAGGTTAAATTTGGAGTAGATGATAACATCACGCGTTGCTGAAAAGCTTTGTGACTTTTAATTAAGTAATAATTAATGATTTGCAAGGGAACAGCCAGACAGTCATTAATCTTCCAAATTAATCTGTGCACTCAGTAGGAAAAAAAAGATGAAGGGAAAAATTAGGCATTCATCCTGCTACACAACAGCACGGCACCAGCTGCGACACAGAAGACTCTGCGAGTCAAACCTCCTCTTCTCTCCCCCATCCTGTCAGTTTATTCACAGTATTTCCCAACATGCCATTTACTTTTAACATATTTAACAAATTCTTCATTAATGTAGTTTTCCCTTCAAAGATGGTTTCTCAAACATTTGTTTGAAACCACATCACACAATGACATAAGCAATCATATGGCCAAGCATTACCATTGTGCTCATCCAATCTTTTTCCTCGTAGTACAAGACAACACTCAATTTTGAGTACAGTCTGTAGTTGTCAGGATCAACTCTTGTTCTTCAAGTTAGTCAGCCTTCAGCAAGCTGACTTTACTGTCAGGATGTGCAGGTGTCAAGCAGACTAGAAAAATGGTTTATTTAATGATATTTCCCCTAAGAAGTTTCATTAGCAAGTCTACAAGCAATGTGTGTAAATGATACTGAAAACTGGCATTTCTATACTGATTCCATTATTCCCTTTGTGCTTCTTAAGAAAAAGACAAAAATCAAGAGCTATAACAGGTACCAGAGACAATCACTGAAGTAAGCACTACACAGCTGAGAAACAATGACAGATTCCCCCATGAGATGCAGCAAAATGACTTTGATATCTGATGTAACCACAACTGTGCTGCATCACATGATGAGCTCTTAGACATGTACGTAGTAACAACTATAGCACAGGATATTACCCTAAGGCCTTGGGTTTGGCTTGGGAGGAGCTGGATTGCCTTCAGTATTATGTTACCAGTAATACTTGTTAATCCAAATAGTTGACAACGTACTTGTTAATCCAAACAGTTGACAATGAGAATTTAAATTTTAAATGTACCTTACTTCAAGCAAAATACAAATCATATTTCAAACAATGCAGGCTGTAGATACCTTTGAAGATTTCTGCTTCCAATTAAAGGTCAAGGTTGGCCAAGAAGCTCATTTCTATTCACTAGCAGCACCTCTGAGAAAGTTCCTCAGAAAGATGTTTAGGGACTGAGATGCGCTATGAATGCTCCTTTATGATGACAACTCTTAGATACAGCTTGGAAGAACTTTACTAGTGTTAGCTAACTAGAATGCATGGGTTCCCAAGCTTACACTCAGCTATACACTCACATAATACAGCCCAGCATTGCATCACCACCTCGGTAGATATAACCACAAGCAGATATAACCACTTCCGCAGAGCAATATGCCCACAGTAACAAAACCTGCCTCGCAGGCTTTCAGACCTTACTGGGTTCAGCGTGGTGATGCATGAACTCAACCAGGTTGCTTAGGGCTGGAGCTGTTCTGTGTGACCTGATAGTGGTGGCCTGGCACAGAGTCAGCTTGGCAGTGTCTTCACTCACCATGGAGACACACCTCCAAAATAACAAGCTCTGAGCAGAATATAGGCAGGAACAGGAGAACGTGCACCCAAAGCTGCAGTGAAAAGCACGCATTTAAGCAACCTAGTTGAACTGCTGCAAACCTGAGTGTAGATAGCTGGAACCTGGTATAAGAGCTGTGCAGTTGGTTTTTCCCTGTTTTGTTTTGCTTTTTAGAGCACTGTATGTTAATTAACTTTAAAAAATTTGAATAATCTAAGTCAGAAGTTTATACGTATAAAAGTTTCACTTCATGAAACTGATCTGAAATACACACATTACTACTGATAGTGATGTTGACTTTATTGACCTACCATCTTCTGCCCTACTCTACAACCACCTGAGAACACTACAAAGCAATATACATTATACTGAGTTGAATATGGCAATTTATCTTCCTAGCTAGACACCTTTTCTGTCCCACAATTGAAAAATGATGCAATAAACATGACTGCTGTAGCTTCACAACCTAGCATATGTATACAAGAAAGTAGAGCAGTCTCCTTACAGAAATTTAAAATATTTTTTTTATTACTGCAAACTGTTTTTACATTACTGCAAATTCCCTTTTCTCTCGCTACTCTGTTCTGTCCTAAAACATCCCCATCCTCTGAAAATCAGCGTCTGCTTCTCTTTGTGGGTTTTCAGAATTTTTACAGATCTTATTCCATCCTAGGCCACGACAATAGTGCCCCTATTGATGGGAAAGCAGTAAACTATCGAAATAGATCATGGACATACGGCACGTTACAATCCACCACTCAGCACTTCACTCTTCCATTACAACAGAAGTTCTTCTAAGGCACCAAGGTTTAGTGTGAATCCAATACTACGTTGAAACATTTTCTCCTCATTTTCTTTCACTCCCCAACGACCTGCTTCACTTACTGAGAACACAATAAATCTCTCTTGCCTGGAGGAATAATACAGCTCCAGGTCTTGAGCAATGAAATAGTTTTATTTCTAGGAATGCTCAATTCACTTCTAGATAGTTAATTCTACCGCACTGAGAAGAGGTCAAACGGGCCTAACTACTGACGTAAAGGAGAGTTACTGACTTATATTAAATTGCAGCGGGTTTCAAATATTTGGGATAATGACAACTCTAAGACCTGATATATTCTGCACCACTGTGATTTTTTTTAACTAACTCTAGATATGCTTGTAAAAGCAATATCCTAACCAAAAATCATAAATTATTTTGTTACAGGCAGGAAGTTCTAGGCCCTAGAGATGGAGGGTGAGATCCTAACTCTGCTTAAGTATAGGCAAAATTTCCATTTATACAACTATATAAGCTCACAAATCACAAAATCTCCCCCATTGTCAAGAATTAAAACAACATACACAACTATTTCTGAACAGATATTACTTTCTGATAAAACTAGAAACCTGATGTTAATTTGGAATAGTTTTAACGACTTTTCCAATTATGAGTTGAATTTTAATTCAAACACTAATAAACACTATTGAGATATCTACCTGCTGTTTTCCAACAGCATCATCTCCCATTAGTGGGGACCAAGTTTCATTCTATTAAGAAGTACACCGTGACATTTTTATGTTTTTCTTCTTCAGAACATAAATAAAAGAATATTGTATAACTGGGGCTAACCTCAAAAGAAATCCCACTGATCAGGTAGAAATGTCATGCCCTTAGAGTGTTAAAGATGCCCAGATCCAAGACATTGAGGATGTCGCCCACCTACTTACAAGGAAAGTATAAATCTGTATATTCTTTCTCATACCTTGGCAGCTGCCAGACCACCTGAGCCCCCACCAATGACAATGAGATCATAGTCGTAGGAATGCGGCACCAGTGTATGCCCGTTCATATCCAGCAGTTTCTGAGGCTTGCCTTCCTTATGTGCCTTGACAGAGAAAGAAAAAACAAAAAGGATAAGAAAGCATTGAAACATTACCCACAGTGCTCAAAAAGTAGTATTTTCAGCAGCAAATATTGTGATAAGGGTACATAAGTACATCTGAATTTTCTGAGCTCTGCTTTTAATTAGCATTGTAAAATTTAATCTTTTTAATCCATCTTATACTGAATAGCTCAGTACCTATTAGATACTGAAGTAGGACTTTTCTTGTTCACTGGAGCCCTGGGTTTCCTTGCAGAGCTTAGTTTTCCATATCAACGCAACTTCAGTGCCTCACTGTACTGTGTACTCCAGGATGAGATACGTACCTGCTGACACAGGCATTCCATTAATTTATTTCATTCTTTTCATCTGCCCTGGACTTTCCTAATGAGTGTTTTTCCCCTCCTCCTGCATATATTAGTAGGAAAATACAACAGTCATATATAACATTGTAATAATCTGCAATTACCAGCCTTACCAACTGAATGAATAGAACTGAATGGAGAAAACTATTTCTGAAAACAACATTTTTGTAACACGGCTGTGTTTATTACTGCTTTGGTTTAGCATTGTAACTAACTGGGGTCAAATGGATCAAGTGTCATCACTACAGTTTCACAAGAGATTTTTTTTTTTTTAATCAGATGACTACTACCCATATGGTAGTTTATACTATGGGTATAAACCCATAAGTCCTAAAATGTATTTTGACAGCTGTATGCCACAAAGAACATTGCCTTGCCTTCATATACTCTTACTAAAATGAGCCTTTGTACTTAACTTGCAAAGCTCAAATTTATCAGGACTTCGGACCTTCAAGCCTTTGGAGTCGTTGGCAAAATTTTCAGTGTCTCTCAAACTGCAGTCCAAGATGTGGGGTAAGTAAAAATCAGATTCCTCAGCTGATAGAAATCAGTGAGTAACAACTAAAGTAATGACAAAACTTTTAAGACCAAAAAAGTATATAAAGAAACCCATACTTAGCCACTTAACAAATCTGCTTGGTTTTATTCAAGTGTTTCTATCTGCCTAACCAGGCAGGAGTTGATTCAGTACTGCAAAATTGATTCTGGCAAATAAAAAGAAAGGAAAAAAACAAAGAAGTTTCCCTTCTCTTTTCATTTAATTTTGTTTCGTATTAAGCAGCCCTTTGTGCTCAACTTGTTCTACTGTCACCTTCCTCTGAGGTAAGATTATTCCCTCTCTCTAAGCATAACTGTGTCTACTCTAGGGACTGCTGCCAGGGCACCCATATCACTGACAAAAATCCCCCATCCCTCCAGCAAATTTCACAGCAATGTCAGCAAAAATTCAGACTGGGCATCTGCCTGGAGAAAGTTACATTTTAATAGTATTTCATAGCCCTGGGTAACATGTTAATAGTAGAAACAAAACCTAGAAAGCACCTGTGGCTGTTGTGAAGGCATCAAAAAATACCTCATCTTCCTTCCTCTTTTCCTCCTGCTCCACCACCCCAGTACAGCCCAATCACTGAATCTACTTTGCGCTCACTTCCCCATCTTTCTATTTCTCTAACACAGTCACTGGCCAGGCTCAAATTTCCTACTGCAATCAGAGTAAGAATGAAAAAGGAGCATATATTGTACTATGATTTGCAGTTTCACTTTACTTGTATTTAGGGACATAAAATCAGAGACAGTGAGCCGTTCTTTTCTAAAGCACACCTTCTTGTTAGATCCGTGGCAACAGGATGGTGTGAAGCTTAATGGCAGACTAAGTCCCACACAGTCATCAAACCCAACTACCAGGAACAGTATCTTTGTGATGCATATAAAGAAACCACAATACCTACTCAGGAAATTTGTTTAGATCACTACTTATATCATGCTACTTTTTATTTTCCTTTTAAGAAAAATGCTTTATGTTTTCACATGGATTAAGAAACTTCAGCTTTTATTCCCTGGTTCATTCATTTTTCATTAGTTCTTCATAACCACTGTTCACATGAAATATATTAAAAGTTTAGATCAAAGTAGATTACAACCTTCCCCTCTGAAACCACCTCCTAGAAGCCCACTCCAAAGCCACCAGGATCTTGACAAGCTTCGCTTCCCTTTACTGGGGAACTTGCTCACGACCATAATCCCATCCTGAGAACTGATCTCCTCCACTCTTTCCAAAAGCCACAATTTTTAAAAGAAAGCCTACACTCTTATTATTTACAATGTCAAAACAGTTTTTTACAGTATTTTACAATGTCTACAATTTACGTAGACTTTAAAGTGTATCTTCCCCTACCTTTAAAGTTTTCTCATGCTCTCCTGTTTCCTTCTCCTGTACAAAAACAACTGGCTGTGACGTTTCTGCCGCTACTTCGCACTGCCCTTGGTGCAGCTCCTGTGCTCCCTCTGTGAAATAAAGCACAAAGAAATGTAGTGTCTGGAGAGACGTCCTTTATGAAGGCTGCGCTCCTCAAGCAAAATTGTCTGGGGGAGTGGCCTGGCGGCTTCATCGCTTCCTCATCAGCGGCATGCCTGTCTCGGGGGAGCGTTTCCTAAGGCGAATGGTGACTCATTTGCAACGTTAGGATGACTTGCGATATTTTTCTCTTTAATAAAATCCCATATGAGATTTGTCTGAGATTTCAGTAAGTTTTGCCAATCCAACAGTATGTTTGGAACAAAGTAAGGAAATAAGATTTGCTGTGGCTAAGCCTGAAATTTCAGTCTTAAAGGAAAATTCTTATTTTTACCTTTCCTGCTCAGAAAGTGATTTTCATATGCTGATGTGCTGTCATTTTTTTCAGTCTCATACTTTTTAAACTGTATTAAAGGTTTTTCTTTTTCTCCTGCAATTTCCCTGGAAACTTATTTCAGTTCAATGTGTTAATATAATTGTTTTTCCCATGCAGCTCCCCCCACCCACATAATTTCTGCCATATGGTACTGCTCATACTATGAAATCCTCTGAATAAATGGAAATCTGGAAAAGATCTGTTTACCCCCTGGTCATAAATTATATATATATATATGTACATATATATATATATATCTCCAACAGAAAAGGTCAAGCATATTAATGGAAAGGAAAAAATTAACATCTTTACACACTGTGATATTTTATTTGATACTGCATGGAGAAAGAAAAAAGAAGAAAATCTAATACTTGATAGGAATCCATTATCAGCTCTGCCTTCCTCCACATAACTCTGAGTTACACTAAGCTTAATTGCCAACAAATGGGTCAGTACACACTTGTTTGTACTTAATCACACACATACCTTGCACTACACAGCCAGCATGAATTAGCAAAGTCTGACACGTGCACATACTTAGACAAACAGCCACACTGAGTGCTTCTACACGCCTTGGGCGCTGAGCCCACAAACCTGAAGAGCATTCACACACAAACACACACAAATGCAGAAAGGCAGTCACTGAAAATTGGTCTGTAATCTTGTTGTCCCTGATTTCTTCTCTAAAACTTGGTGATAAAATTCCTTGATCTCACAAAAGTATTGGGAAGAGTACTTTGCTGATGTTAGTAAAGGGGTTTAAAGATCAGAATCATTATGCAATAGCTAATAGTAATATTAGTGATGGATAATACTTGGCCTATTCTAGCTTGTAAACACAGAATTAATCTGTGTTTACACATGCATGTTTGATCTGTAATTTACACACACATGTAAAAAAAGAAAAGCAAGAACACAGGTTTTGAGCACTGGTCACAACCTTCACACAAGATAAAATTTTCTTCAGTATATTATCAAAGCTACAGTCCTGCATGTACCTGAAGCAACTGAAACCTTGTATTTCATTCCTATAACAAGTTTGAACAACTTCAGGAATGTTCACCTAAAACTGTATCTCCAATGAGATAAAAATCTAGTCATTAGACAACACAGGCATTTATATAAACATCTCTAATTATTTTCAGGTAGATCTGTGCTAGAGGTGTCTAGCTTTAGCAATAGCCCCAAAACCCAAAGGCAACCATGACCTCTGGCAGAGACTTGAAAGAGTTTGTATGCAGGCAGCTGCTGCTAAGGCCTCTCCCTTGTTGGTTCGGGCAACCTGCCACAGGCAGGATGACAAAGCAGAAAGTGCTCCGTGCATCACGTGCTTGCTCTCCATAAAACTCCATCCGTTAACAGCAATTACAACCCACAGCCCTGATGGATCGATACTTTCCAGAAATCAGTCAGCTGATAACTTTTTGCAGAGCAAGACTGCTAAGGAGAACTGGGACCACGAACTCACTCTGGATAATCCTCAGAGAGCTAGTGGTGAGGACAACACATCAGAGTTACTACTCACAGCCATTGGGGGAAGATCTAGTGAGGCTTCTACCCTGAACTACCATCATTTTTGGTTTTTGTTAGTCACAATCTAGAAGGTCACATAATCATAAAATGGTTTGGGTTGGAAGGGACCTTTCAAGGTCATCTAGTCCAACCCCCCTGCAATAAGCAGGGACATCTTCAACTAGATCAGGTTGCTCAGAGCCCCGTCCAACCTGACCTTGAATGTTTCCAGGGATGGGGCACCTATCACCTCTCTGGGCAACCTGTTCCAGTGTTTCACCACTCTCACTGTAAAAAATTTCTTCCTTACATCTAGCCTAAACCTCCCCTCTTTCAGATTAACACCATTACCCCTTGTCCTACTGATACAGGCCCTGCTAAAAAGTTAGTCCTGGTCTTTCTTATAGGCCCCCTTTAAGTATTAAAAAGCCGCAATAAGGTCTCCCGGAGCCTTCTCTTCTCCAGGCTGAACAACCCCAACTCTCTCAGCCTTTCTTCGTAGGAGAGGTGTCTCATCCCCCTGATCATTTTTGTGGCCATAAGATGGTGGCTGTTGAGTGCTACCTCCCCCTACAACCTGCGAAGTGCTCCTTGACACGGCGTGAACTGATCTAACAAATCACTACTATCAAAAGGGGACAAGCCTACTTCCTTCCAACACACTGTTTTTTTTTCCTTCTTCTTGCTGTCTGCATACTTGGCAGAAGCTCTGGCAGCCAACAGACCCTTGCTTGAGCTAAATCAACTCAATAACCTGGGAGAAAACTAACCCAGGAGAAGACAAGATGAGCACTGCAGCTCATGTCAGGCAGAAGGTGTACCCATACACACCAGCAACAAGGAAGAGGAGGCAGCAACATTTATCTTGCTGGTAGTAGCAAAACTGCCAGTTTCACTCTGCAGCTTGTTAAACAAGCAAAAAGCTCCACCTTTTTCGAATTCACCTTAATCCATTTCTGAAGCAGAGCACACCAAGCCTCGTTGCCACTTCTTGAGCAGAGAAAAAACAAAACAAAACAAAACAGTGAAACAACTATGGTATTTTTAATCCATATCCTTCCTTATTGGGAGTGAACTTCCTCACAAACCAAAGTCCTCCCTGGTACTGAGGCCTCTGAACTTTTGACTGTCAGTTGTATAACTTCTGGCAGGGGTGAAAAAAGGCATGATTGGTTTCAGAGGGCCTTGACCAGGTGGGAACGTGACCAGCCCAACACAACAGCCTGGACCAGCTTTGTGAGCAGAACTGCTCCAGGATAAGAATTGCCTTACTCTGCAAAAGTGTCCACCCAGGGATCTAACAGGCTGCTGGGCAGGACGTGGGGACCCATGGAAAGCACCTGCCCTTCAACTACTCGCCCTGAAAGTCTGTAAATGGCACTTCAAGCAAAGGTCTTTGCCCATTTCCCCACATTTTCAGTACCACACAGAAGGTCATTACCAACAAGAATGAACTTCATATTTTTGACATACAATGTAATTAAAAAATAGTTGTCTCTACTCCAGTAGTTCAGAAGATGCCTCTAACTTTGCAGTGCCTATGAACAAGCACGTAACTTGCTTTACAGCCTTATCTTCAAGCATCTGAGAAGTACCAGTTATTTCATATGATGATGGACGTTTACCTTACGCTCAAGTGAGCTTTTTAGGTGGAGAAACTTTCAGCTTCTCCTTCTCCTAGATTTGCTCACTTGACAGAGGTCACTACCTCCTCCACTGCATAAACTCAAACATTTGGAAGTGATGGTAACAAAGCCATTGTGTCATCCAGATTACAACAAGGGAAAAAACCCAGGCCTTTAAAATACACACCTCCAGCCTGGATCGTATCACAGGTCCACAATGAGGGGCTGCGTTGCCATCAGCTGAAGTGACAAAACTGCAAAGGAATGGAAACCCAGGGCAGGATGCAGGGAAGGATGAGAACCTCTTTAACTGCCTTTGCCTGTACAGGAATGACAACGCACCCACACTTCCCTGAGGGCCAGAAACAATGGGTGGAAATTAAAAAATAATACTTAGAAACTGGACTTTGGTGTAAGTTAGACCTTTATTTTTTTAATTTTATTTTTCACTTTATTCACTTTATTTTTTACTGTGATAAGAGACACAGTGCAGCCTCATGGCTAATCAAGAGAAGCAACAGAGTTGGCTATTGTAGATGTGTCAGGGCTCGCTTAGATAAGGACCGCATGTGCCATGCTCTAGTGATCCTGGCCAAGAACCACTGGTACCTTTGGCAGAATAAACTAGCACAGCCCTGTGGCTATTCTCTTTCTTTCCAAGTGCTGATTCAGTGCTTGGCTGCCCTGTCAGAGGAAGTATAAAAATAGCTTAGAGGTACAATTGCCTCCTCACTTGGACTTAAACTTGAGAAGGAACTTCTTTACAGTGAGGGTGACAGAGTACTGGAACAGGCTGCCCAGGGAGGGTGTGGAGTCTCCTTCTCTGGAGACATTCAAGACCCGCCTGGACACCTTCCTGTGTGATCTCATCTAGGTTCCTGCTCCGGCAGGGGGATTGGACTAGATGGTCTTTCGAGGTCTCTTCCAATCCCTAACATTCTGTGATTCTGTGAAAGTTTGAACCCCTAACAAGTCAGTAATGTCAAGACAGGACAATCCAACATTATTTACACACACAGGATTCAATGCTCACTGACAAGTGCTGTTAATCAAGAATAAACCACTGATGCCACGTGAATGCTACTTCTGAAGGCTGGTGTATGTGAGCCTTGAATCCTGCTGTCTACACACAGGATCAAGATGTACGTTACATCCAATTACAAGCACCTCTAGCCTTCTCTCTGAAATTAGTTCCTTGTCCCTAACACTGTGCAAAGCACCATGTGTGATCACAGCACAGAAATTATACAGCTAGAGTAAAAGCTTTACTTTCCTTCCTAAGTGTCAAACATTAATAAAACAAACCCTAGAAAGTGAAAAACCCTACCTAAGAGCATCTTTTGCACCTGCTTATATAAGCAGAAATTTGCAACAGTTGTATATACTCTGTATGGTTCATAATTTTATCCTGCAAGGAAAAAGTGCCGTGGTGAGTGGAACAAACAAAACCCTTTCACCAGTACCACAAAAACATGCATCTTTCCCAGGGGTAAAGGCTGTTTTTTCCTAAAGAATCTCGCTGTCTGCATATGCAAGCA